TAGTGAACAAAGGAATACAATCTTCTTCCCGATCTAATAGCGATGAAAGAATTGATAACCATTATTTACCACCACTAAAAGAAAAATTACGACTTTCAGAGGATTTAGATAAAAACATTGATATTGCATTGCAATCAGTTGTACACAGAGATAGAGATGACGCTCTTATCGTGCCTGGAGATGACGTAGAAATGATTGAAGATATTTTTAATCGTTCGATGAGTATCATCGATGACACTGATGCATTAATCGTACAAAAAAGTATTTTGAAAAATAAGATAAACGTAGATAATGTAAAAATTTCTCGTCAAATCATTGGCTTTGCTAATATGGATAATGTATCATGTTATTCCAACTCAGTTATTCAAGCTTTATATCATTGTGATACGTTTGTAAGTACTATTCATAGAGGCCAAGCTAGAGAAATATTGAAACAACAGCTTATTGGTTATGAAAAAAATGAAGTGACTGATACGTTTGAAATAAGAAAATACGTGGATGACCCTTTAAACAACACGATTTTTACTAGGAAGGAACAACAGGATTGTGTAGAATTTATGGAAGCTTTAATGAACTGTAACCGTAGTGTAAGTGATACCTTATTTAGTTTTACTGAAAGTTGTATAAACTACTGCGATTATTGTAAAAAAAAAACTTGTAGTTCAGAGGAACGCAATCTTGTGAAACGTTTAGAATTACCTTCTAATCGAAACCACAGTATAGAACTAGAAAGTCTACTTGAATTTAATAAAAAAAAATGGACATCCATTGATGATTATTCTTGTCAAAACTGTAATAAAACAGGTGGTTTCAAAAGACGACATGAAATAATAAAAGCAAATGATTATTTGATATTACAGTTGTCATTATTCAATTCTAGTTGGATAAATGGTCAATATATAATTAGTAAAACAACAGATCTAAAATTAAAAAATTTGTCCAAATCTCGATTTACAATAGAAGATTCTATTTATACACCGTCAGTTACAATATTTCATATAGGCGATGACACTAAATCTGAACATTACATCGTATATTTAAAAGAAAAGTCTAGATGGGTATGTTGTGATGATAAAAATGTGTCTGAAAAAAGATGGTCAAATAATGGAAAAGGGGCGTATTTAATTATTCTAAAAAAAGGATAACACATTTGTCAAAAAATTAAACAGTTTATATAGTCCATCAAAGGAAAATAGATCTAATATATTATTGGATAACAAGGACAATATATTGCAATTAGTTATACACGAAGAAGATGATTATGCACTTAAGGTGCCTGGTGATGTAGAAATAATGGAAGATTTGTTCAATCGGTCATTCAGTATAACTGATGATGATTATCAAAACCAAAAAAGTCCATTATTATATTTAAATGAAAATTTAATTTTATTTGTGGAACCTATTTTAAAAAAATAAAAAAATTTTAATAAGTTTAATTTCTTATATCTTATGAACTTTATTCTATATCATTTAAATTATAAAATATTCATGAAAGTCAGTGTATTGCACTTATAAGATATTTAAAAAAAAATAAAATACAAAATCCAGTATTTTAACACAAAAATAGCATATTTTTGAATACGGTAGCCATTTGCGCATAGAAGATAGGTCGTCGGGACAAATTTTTTTTTTTCATTTTATAGTACATAAAATAAGCTTTAATTTGATATATGTTTAAAGGACGCAATATTTCCGGAACATTTTCAAAAATTAAGTTGAAAAAGTTACTATTTTAAAAAAAGTTGCTATTTTAAATCCCCCCTGTGAGCAGAATAAGTGTTAGATTTTCAAAAAAAAATGATNAAAAAAATTATATCAAATGAAAGGGAAATATCTAAGGTTTCAATACAAAAAAATATTATTTTTATTTGTTCATTTTTGAAAAAGTTATGGCAGTTTTAAGTACAAAAAACATCCCGATAAAAGGTAATTTTTATCGCAAACATATTTTTTTTTTTTAAATTTTCGACAGCCATTTGCACATAGAAGATAAGATGTCGGGACAAATTTTTTTTTTTCATTTGATAGTATATAACATAACCTTTGATTTGATATATGTTTAAAGGACGCAGTATTTCCGGAACATTTTCAAAAGTTCAGTTGAAAAAGATCTATGTTTTTTACAATATTTTAAGTTTTGAACGCCCCCTATATAAGGGGAAATTGTCTAATTTTAATAAAAAGTATGTCAAATGAAAGATGTACTTATAATGTATTTAGAAAAAAAAAATTTGTGCTGATATAGACATTTTTCAAAAAGTTATAGCATTTTTAAGTTGAAAATTTAAAAATTAAAAAAATTGAAAATCGAAAATTTTAACACAAAAATAGTGTTTTTTTAACTACGGCAGCCGTTTAAATGTAGAAGAAAAAGTGTCGAGACAAATTTTTTTTTTTCATTTTATAGTACATAAAATAAGCTTTAATTTAATATATTTTTAAAGGACGCAGTATTTCCGGAACATTTTCAAAAATTAAGTTGAAAAAGTTAGTTTTTGTAAAAAAGTTGCTATTTTAAATCCCCCCCAATGAGCAGGTTAAGAGTTAGATTTTCAAAAAAATGATATCAAATGAAAGGAAAATATCTAAGGTTTTAGTATAAAAAAAAATTATGTTGATTTATTTATTTTTGAAAAAGTTATGGATATTTTAAGAAAAAAAAGTGAAAAAAATGACAAAATTTACCGATTTTTAAATTTGTAATTTATTGGATATTTCCCCCATTTGCGGAGAACGAGGAAAGAGTAATGTAATTTTTAAGGGTAATGTCTTCAACTAGATACAATTTGTGATCTTTTGACGTATTGTTAAAAGAAATCGGTCCAGTGAGAGCTGAGAAAAAGTGGCAACAGACATAAAAAAAAAAAA